AATGTATATTTTTAATGGCCCAATACATATAGGAACTTGAATGTATTTTTGATTAAGACCTCAGAAATGTTGGTTATATTGGCATAGGATACATACATTTTCATATTTTTCCTTATAAATCAGTTTTAGTTGATATTTGTTTAGAATTTGGGAATTATTTTGAGTGTCCTGAAGAGCCCTGAAAGATATACTCTAAAACATTAAGGAACCCAGATACAGAGTTAAAATATTTACCATATTTTTGGGGGTATAAATTTATTTCCCATTTCTATTAATTTATAATTGTTATTAATATTCTCATAATAAAAAACCTGAAATATTTATTATAATAAAATACCTTCACAAATTTAGTGAATTGCCATTCATTCTTATGTCTTCTTTGGAAGTCTATGCTTAGAAATAATGTCCTCACAGGTTCCTGATTTGTATACAGAGGAGGAATTTGGCTAGATTTAACCATTATTTGACAAATGCCATATGACCTTCGGTTTGGGGAATATCAAATCCTTTCAATTGTAAGTGGTCATTACTACCAATGGGATAAATCCAGCTGCTTTTGTTTGGGGTCCAGAACATAACAAAAGAAAAATGCAGTTGCCAACAGACTACCACCAAATCACTATATTCAGTCTACTAGAAGAGGACTGACCAGGCCCTAATGCAGCTGGACAGTGGGAGAACTATCTAAGTTGAAAACCTGAATTGTTACAACTCCAACACATCTAGATTTTTTTTTAACCCTCTCTTGCTGGATACAATCTAAGGAATAATTTTGTATTTGGTTAATGTGTAATGTGCAAATTTTAATGAACAAAACTGGGAAAGGATTAGGAAATTCCTACTGACCTTGTAAACGGTATTGGACTATCACCATTACCCAGACAGACGTTTTCTTTACTCACTAGACTGGAAGCTCCTAAGGGCAAGGGCTATTTGTGTATTATTCATCTTTGTGCCACATCCCCTAGAACCTTGTGGATACTCGATAAATATCCTTTGAACTGAACTGACCTTGGCTGAGTACAGTTGAATCAGATAAACAGGAACGGCTAGACTGTAGGTTAGTTTTTGACATAAAATTAATTTTGAAACTGAAAATGAACTGGAGACACAGTTCAAGAGAGAAAACAAGCTCTACCTGTATTCCTACTCTCAGGGGTGTGGGTAAACAAAGTTTCTTTCCAGCATAGTGCCTGGAAAGGCTGATGTATCTACTAGTTTAAACTCTTTGGAATGGCTTCATGAGTGACCTAATGTTTAGAAACTGACAAAGAAAACACATAAAATGACTTATCTGATTAGCACTAATGAGCTGAGGCCTCAGACCCACTGGGAAGTAGGAAACATATATATTTAGTCCATATCACCAAAGCAACATAGCCAGTATACCTCAGCACAGTAGAAAAACAAGCATAGATGTTGAATATACTGAATATAGTATAGGTGTTACCTATACTATAACAGCGGTTAGATACAAAGACAATTATTTCAGAAACCAAGCAATTAGAAGTTTTAACTTCGTGTGTGTGTGTGTGTGTACGCACACATGCATGTTTTGCTAATATTTCCTTTGCAATCTTGGTCAATTATATTACGTTAGCATCAAAAATAAAGGTTGTTTGACTTTGACATAAATCACTTGCAAATTCTCTTTTCAAGAATAGCAAGGATTTTAAGAATGCATAAGACCAGGCACTATTTTGTTCTGTTGTACATAAGGTTGCTATGAGTTGGAGTTGACTGGACAGCACCTAACAACAAGAAGCCTCAAATAGGATGCCTTCTTTCCCAAATGGGCAGAACATCTAAATTTGAAGCTATTTAGTCAACATAAAATGAGACTCTCTGTTAAACAAACTTACCCTGAGGGATGATTGATAAATGTTTCACTGATGAGACTATTTATACTTTTATCTACCAGAAATAAATAATAAAATATAACAATAGTAAGGTATAGAATATAACATATAACAAAAGGAAAATATTCTATATGGAACTTGAAAAGGAAATAAGACATCAGAATGTCTCACTCATCAGGAAAGAGACTAAAGTTTGGCAAACATAAGAATTCTCTAAGCCTTACCCCAGCCCAGAAGAAATATTCCTCTAAATTTTCAACCTTCTTTTGCTGTGATCTGTGTTGACCAAAAAGCTTCCTGTTTACTAATTGTTTAGCCTAGTCTTACAAGTTTTGTTAGTGGGAATTATATTCTCAATCTGAGAATATGTAACCATCCATCTGTATTATATCCTGGGAGGCCCAGCTGTAACAGCCAGACAAATGGTCTACCTTTTTTAAACATTCACCCTCACCTTTCTCATCAACTTCTAACTGTAACACAGGTCACCACAATCTTGTAAATGTCTGTATCCATCTGAAAAATAAAATCACATGCCATATATTTGTAACCAACCAAATGATGATGGCAGAGGCACTAGAGTAACAACAAGGTTATTAGGAAGAAAGTTTTTACCACTAAATAATTCCATAACTGTGTTTTCAATTCCCCATACATCTCCTATTCTTATTAAAGTAGGACTATGACCTCATACTCCATTTACAAGAGTTATACTTTCTTCAGGGAATATAGTGGGGACCCACATCTGGAGGTTGTGGACTTCTATGTGGTTTGATTTTACCCAGCTTCAAAAGAAGGCATGAAAAAGCCTGAACCTGAATTTGATCAAACCTACCAGTTTATAGGATATATACAGGACATATAAATGACTTCATAGTGATGAAATCAACAAAATCCAGGAATACTGGGGAAAAATCTGTAAGACAACTAGATTTCTTCAATAATCTTAAGTAGGGAAAAAGAGGAAGGAATATCTTATGCATTAAAATATTTAAAATTAGTAACAACCAAATGCATTGTATGGACCTTGTATGGCGTCTATTCAAGCAAGCCAGTGGTTTAAAGAAAAAAGATAAAAAAGAAAAGTAAGGGAATTTGAACACTGAGCAGATATTTGATATTAAGAAATTGTTAATTTTTTAGGTGTGATAACAGTATTTTGGTTATGTTTTGTTTAAAAAAGATCACTTCTATTTTAAAAATATATATTAGTTACAGATGAAAGGTGTCTAGAATTTGTTTCAAAATATTTAGAGTAGGGAGGAGTAAGTAGGGTATAGATGAACTAAGATTGGCTATAAATTGAACCAGGGTATAATCAACCAAAAGGGCAGCAACTGCCAAAAAAAACACCGAAGGTCAGAAGGCAAGAAGGGACAGGAAAGACGGACAAATGGAAACGGGGAACCTAGGGAGGAGGCAGGAAGAGTGCCGTTACATAGAGGGAATGGCAATTGTTAACAAAACAAAATGCATATAAATTACTGAATGGAAAACTAATTTCCTCTATGAAGTTTCACCCAAATCACAATAAAATAAATAGCTAAGACTTACAATAAATAAATAGAATCTGGGTAATGGATAGTAGCTCTGGTGGCATAGTGCCTAAGGCTTTAGACTGCTTGCTAACCAGAAGGCTGGAGGTTCAAACCCACCAGCCACTCCTCGGAAGGAAGATGGGGCAATCTACTTCCGTAGTGATACTGCCTCGGAAACCCAAGGAGGGGTCGCTGTGAGTCGGGGCAGACTTGACAGCAATGTGTTTGGGTTTTTTTTGTTGTTTGGGTAATGGATACAGCAGGGGCAATTATACTATTACCTATATGTTTTTATACTGCCCATAGTAAAAAGTTAAACAAAAAATACACAAAGGAGATGCTGAGTGCCCTGGAGTAACAGGATAAAATTCCCAGTCTAGCTTGAGCCCCATTAACTAGTCATTCTCTGGGGGTCAGCCATAAACTGGTAATTACAATTACCAAGTTCAACCCTTAATCTTACATATTATCCTAAGAAAGGACATTAAGTTGTCTGAGTTTCGTTACTTACCAGGTACCTTTTAATCTCCAAGTTTGCTACCCAGTTTTAAGAAAAACTAAAATAATTTCTGAAGCTAACAGCATTTAACATCTGTTGAATTTATTCAGCATAACCAGAGACATTGTCTTCATGCCGTCACACACAGACACAAACACAGAAGTACAGCACAATATCCATGTTTTGTCCAAGTGCATTCCTTTTGAGGCTCATTTATATGTTTTCATATGCCACAGCCCATCGTTTAAATAATGGATATTTTCGATGCCAATTCCTTTGTTGACTTTCTCACTGAAAGGAAAAGAAGTAAAACTATTTTATGCATTTGTATATGCTTACTCATGGTAACTATAATAAAACATTGCTATCTTGCAATTATTAAGCCATATATAGGGAATTTTTTCCTATTATACTTACATTATTGTCTATATAAAACTACATTACTCCACTGCAGTTCATGTCTTTAAAATGATTCTAGTGATCTAACTAGTGATTCTGTAGAAGCAGAGTAATAGATGCCTCATACCAGCAGACTATCAAAGCATTACATTAACCCTGAAACAAAATTAATAGGACTAATTTAATCATCAAATGGGTTCCAACATTTTTAAACATACTGCCTGTATTTGGGTACTGTATCGTTAACATTTCCCTAATACGCTATCTTTCCTATACCGCTAGGTCAATATTATAAAAGATAAATATTGTACAGTGCTAAACTATGTCACTGTTTTAAAAACTAGCAGAAAAACATCTCTCCCTCCCTCCCCAATTTAAGTCTTACTAAATAAAAATATCCAAAAGTACCACAAGCATGCATATGAAACAGCTATGTTTGCACTTGGGTACTTTTCAGAGTACTTAAGAAAGAATGCAATGCTTAAAACAAAATGGGTTTCAGTGGCTTTCTTAAGTGTTAGGAAAAATCAGACACGATGCTTCTGTTCTTATATATGTGTAAGATGTGATATGAATAAGTGAATTTCACCTGTGACTATGATATTTCCTGGGTAGGTTAGCTGAAAAGCTAAGAGGGTCTAAAGTGAGACTTACATATCTTCTGCAGACATCTTCATGACTCCGACACACAGAGCATGCTGTTTTCCTTCTGCCATTATTGCCTGACAACACAGCTAAGAAAACAATCAGAATGCCTTTATTGGGGGGGGGTGTCAAATGATGATCGTGTTGTGAGTTAAGCTACTTTGAACCCATACTGTATCCTCTCTTTGATTGTTAACTCCCTTAGGGCAGGCAGAGACCTAACACTCTTTGGGTACACTGTAAGTACACAATGAATGCTAAATGAATGTGTCTAATAATTATTGTGGGTTTTCAAGTCAGATGTTAACACTATATAACAAAACAAGAATAGGTTATTCAAAAAAGGAGATAAAATTTCTTGCACGTAAACATTAAAAACTATGAGATAAATGTAAATTGTTCTAGTATTTTAATCACTGAATGGTAGTTTTATGTAAAGGACACATTAAAACAATTATTCTATTGCCATTCTGTCTTTAAGAGCCCAATGTAACAGTTTGAACCTTGTGAGAACACAAGAATATTCCTGATTATCATTTGAAGTTTCTGGCACTTTAAACACTAAAGTACATATTTTAAAAAGTAAAGGTTCAAGGGTGCACAGGACCTCTCTGTACTGTTTCTCCAACTTCATATACATCTATAATTATTGCAAAATAAAAACTATTTTTAAAAAGTAAAGGCTATGGGGTACTAGGAAATTTTCCCATTTAAGAGAAACTCCAGACCTATAAATTTACCAACACATAGAAATCATAAACATAAAAAGGTAACATGTCTTCACAGAATACTTTTCTCCATTGGTTTTCATTCATTCATTCATTAAATGTTTCACAAATATTTGATCACTAATTATGTAACCAGTATCTGTTGTCAGTACAAGCTGTTCCTAAGATATACCTCTTAGGTATAACTGCCACAAGAGAGAATACTGTCATTCTAAGCAAAGAACACATTCTCAAACCCACTACATTGGCCTTCCCACTCCATTTCCTTTTTCTCAACCTGAGACAAATGGCCACTTTAGCTGTGACAAAAGCTAGCTGGTCCTCCTGTCCAGAATAGTTCACAAAAACATACTTAATACAGAATATAGCTGAAACAGCACACAGACAATGGAGACAATGCTGAAGAATTACTCTGCTATGAGCCGAATAGATTTTTTAAGGACTGCTTTTTTTTTCTTTGAGAAAATGTGTTCTGAGTCCTACAAAACCAACTTTAAAAAGTTGGAGATTGCGAGATTGCCAGTATTTCCCTATCTACGTAACTCTATCACAAAATATGTTGGGGAAAGGAAGTACTACACCTGGTGCCTGAGTTCTCTTCTCTTTTGAGTGCTTTTACTCCACTGTATCTGGGTAAGTCGCACATAAAAGCAGCAAGTTGATGTCCAAAGAAGTGATCTAATCATGTCTTATCTCCTTTTAGTAATCAAGAGTTTGTATTGTATACTCAATCTGGTAACAACAGGCCCTGACTGGGTTGAAATGCAGCTGGCATTTGTTTCTAACTTGTTCTCATTCAACTTCTAAGAAACTACCTACAATGATATGGACGAATAGATGGGTGAACAGGCTGAACAGTTGGGTATGTCTGAATGGAGAGTGTGTCCAGGATCGTGTACAGGGTTGGCAGACAATGGGCCTCTCGAGGAGTATGGGGGGATGGGCACTGGGAGGGGGGGGGGGTGGGTGGGAGGGGAGCTGCTGCAT